TTTTTGTAATATTACGTAAATGAGGTGTGTGGTGGCTAATGTTAGACATTACTGAGTCGGTTTGCTGACTTTTCTCTACTTGTGTTTCTGTATCATTATCCTGTAACTATCACTTCTGGTTGTCGTTGTTCTCGTGTATGCTGCAGCATCACAATTTACCTCAAAGGTCTAGAGTGCAGGATTTAGTGGCATCTAGCAGTGAAGCTCGCCCTCCAAGCATGTTGAAATTACAGCAGGCAGAGAGCCCAGATAGCTCCCCTAGTAGAGATGTTGCACCATGTACTCTATTTAAAATAATCTGCTAGAACAGCTCATTCTAAGGTAACAACAACCCAATGATTCCTATATGCAGGTGATTATACACTAATGAAAACATACCTATGAATGTTATACTACATTTCTACCAATTGATCCTCCTAAATGTTTCCCACTGGACCTTTAAGTGGAACAAACCATAAAAAATAGCCCCAGTTTAAAAAAAATTGGCCATATAGTGTGTGCAGGTGGTTAACCTCACTGTGGGTCTGCCCCATTTCTGCCCCACAACACCCGCAAAAAAAGAGATAATGTGCTGAAATTAGAAATCTTAGTACTGTTACAATAACAGTGTTTTTGTTTGTGTTTCCATTTCCATCCTCAGATCCCAATATGTCTGGGATTGGCGACGCTCTCCTGAAAAGAGGAGCGTTTATTCGTAATAGCTTAAACTTTGGCAAGAAGGACAAGGTTAAAAACCCCAAAGTGCCGTTCGTCCTGCTCACTGAAGGCTCAGTGGAGGAAAAGGAGGAGGAAAAAGAGGAGGAGGAGAAGGAGGTGTGGGAGGAGATTAAGGAGGCGTACACACTGCCAGAAATACCACACACACCACTGTCAGGTACAGGCTGTCACATGTTCTTTAACCTTATTTTTTCCAAGGAGGGTTTTGCTGATATGCCCCGCTGAAACCACCCATCACCTTCCCCCTGGCAGAAATAATGGAGGACAGAGCTGTCTTCAGTACCACATGACTGTATATAGTATAACTGTTTTCATTCAGTCTGAGAGTCTTGATATAGAAAGATTAAAAGTCTACAGCCATCCTTGCAGCTTTATGAGATTTATAAGTTTATAGGAACAGTAGTGGTAGGAGTTAAATGCTAATATTATCATGCTAACTCCCATCAAGCTTAGTTTAGTGTGTTAAACACAAAATCATATACAAGCTGTGTCATTAGTTTAGCATAAAGCCACATATGTGAACCTCATTGTGGCACTAGATGAAAAGTCAGGGGGAATCACCAAAGCCATTAGGATTCATCCTCTGGGGACCATGAATGCAACATTTCATAGCAATCTGTCCATTAGTTGTAGTAGCTGCCAGTACCTCCACTGCAGACGGCTGCCTGAAGCCTGGCGAGATTCTCACGTGATCTTGAGGTCAAGAGGTGCTTGCTTGGCTTAAAAATGATCAATCTATATCAGAACATAATATCAGCTGCTTATATTTGCATTATTATTTCAGATTGAGTATAAAAGTTTGTACATGTGTCCTTCAGTTTACATCAAAGTGTGCTTCCAACCTTGTCAGTGTTTTAAAGACGCTTGTGGCTTCGAGCTATTATTAACCTTTTCTCACAATGTTTCCAAACACCGTCCTGTCTCTTTCTCTGTCTGTACATTCAAATTTTTTCCTTATCATTCTCTGTTTTGGCAACAAATACAGGCAAAGATAGAATCCTGTTCCTTTTGCGAAATACACAGTTAATCCGGAGGAGTCAATGCTTTAACTGTTACATTGGCAGCCGATTTTAAATTTGATTTCCTCCCTGAATTTTTCGGCTGTTGTATCACTCTGATTGATCAAGAAGTGTGTCTGTGAGGTTTTTTTTTCTGAACTAAGGAAGGGTGTTCGGTCTCCCTCGCCTCTCTCTTCTCTTTACTGGAACAGTTAAGCTCTGCAATTGTATTGTATGAGGGAAGACAAGTAAATGAAGTTAAGATGCCCCCCATGAAGTCTAGATCAACCACCACTGGTGGAGATGATGAAGCTGGTAATCGGAAGGTGAAGGAAATGATGTGTGAGCGTACACCAGAAGAGTGAATGCAGGATGGAAAGAGAAATTACAAACAGGCCTACAGACCAATCGACTTCTTGACTGAACTTTTGCTGGAGCTTCATTTCACCATCTTCTCTATTTTTTTCTCAGTGATGCAGATCAATAAGCTGATAGAGATGGAGGCCCTGGAGGAGGCTCACCTCAACCTCCTCGCCATGCGGCAAGAGTTCAAGCAGGAGCAGGAACGGTGCGGCAAAGACTCGCCCGTGGAGCTGGCCAAGAAGGAAAAAGACCTCAACCTCCTCTATGGAGAGCTGAGGAACAAAATCAACACCATAGTGCGCGACTCCAACTCCCTCACCTCCAGGAACAAGGGGCTGCTGGTTCACGTGGCACGCATCATCCAAGAGGAGGAGAAGCGAGCTGAGGAACCCGGCGGGCTTCCAGGCAGCTGGATGGAGTCCTGGACAGAGGCGGTGGGCGAGGGAGTGCAGGTGAAGGTGGGGGCCATTCACCTGGAGGCGAGGGAGCAGAACCAATCCTGGTTGGCAGTTCATCTGGCTCTGCTGGGTAAGGCCATCAGGGAGGACTTGGAGACAGTGAAGAAGGAGCTGCGGTGGTCGTACCCTCCCAGCTTTAAGGTCTTCAGCACCTACGTGGAGAGTTACCACAGAGTCGTCGGGCAGCACCTGAAGAAGCTGGAGCGGGAAGTGACGGAGCTGAAGGATCTGTACGCTCTGCTGGACTGGATCATCAACAGCTACAAGAGGTCAGTGAGCGATGGCAGGAATCAAAGGAATGTGGATTAGATTGTCCGCGTATGAGTCATCAATGGATGGTTTGTGTTGTTATACGCTTATGATCCTATAAACTATTAAAAACACATCAGTGAGTCACATTGTAGTATATTTAGACTCAATCACACATTCACCGTCCCGCTGCCCCAAATATTCACTACAGCAACAAATGTGGATTAATCCGCTGCTGAAAATAGTCCCCAACAAATCCTCTCCTTCTTCTTTTTTCAGTAACATTGGCTAAAAACTACAGTGAACAGCTGGTTTAGGGTATTATTGATCCTTTTTATAAAAAATAAAATAAATGGTGTATTCACACATCTAGTTCGGTTGCAGCTTTATGCTCCTGATCTGTATATTTATCTTTTTTGGTGTCACAAAAACCTCAGGAAGAAATAAGAAATTATAAGCATTATTAGTATTATTAGACTGCAAATTGACAGCATGTTATGAATAATGACTACATGAAAGAAGAGGTGTCTACATCAATGACTACAGACTACAGTAATGATTTAGGGCTAATGGATACAAGCACAGCAGTTTTAATAGCTTTGACCTATTATTCAGGGAAAATGCCCACACTGACATGCATACGTGTTACAAATTATTTGTATAAATATGTACAGGGCTTATGCAGATCAATTGTAACACAGCTCCCTGGACAGATTTCACCATCAGGATTTATTAGTAGTTAAGCTTTTGAAATCATCCTACAGTCACATATCTGCTGTAAAATCCTGTGGTTGGTTTGTTTGTTTTCTTACCACAAGCAATCTGCTCCAGACCTTCTTTTTCGGTGATATTGTCCCGCTTATTTACCCAAGCAAGTAAACACTTTTAGTTTTAGTTTGTAAATCAAGAACAATGCCACTCTCAGCCATACTGACCTGTTAGGGGGCCACAGGCACAAAAACGTAGGCCTCACCTACCACCCTATGTGCATAATGTACATGTACAAGTACTTATATAAACAAAAGTGATAAAGTTCACACCTTAGTTGATACTAATGGTTCCAGATTTCCTAATCAAATGTGCAGTTAATCAAATTACTAAAACCATTTGACATGTAGTCAACCTGGTGAAGAGTAATTTTACTCACATATGTGATTAAGAAGATCTGTGGTCATGGAAATATCAGCCTTAAGTGGCCAGACATTCAGACAGTTGTAAACACACATAGTTTGCACAGCAGGCTTAAATTACTCCCCATTCATTTTTGCTCCCATTTCAGTTATTAGAAAAGGTCATTAAACACATTAGCAAAGAAAAAACATGCAGTAAAAGTCCTCAGCCACACTGGAGACATATTGTCCCTGACTGATTGTCTCTCTGAAGCAATGTTTAAACTTAAACTTGGAGGAAAAACCCAAAACACATCGAAAAACACATCTCGATTTCCCACATACAGTAAAGACGAGTTTACAGATGGGGCAGAGTGTTTAAAAGGTAGCTAACGCCGCCACAGCACCAGAGAGAGCATGAGTGGGGGAAGCAGTTGAAAAAGAGGACATTATTTGTTGAATCAGGCCACACCAAACCAAAAAACTGTGCTTGAAACAACATTTGGGAGACCAAAAATAAACGACTGATCTGATGAAAAAAAAAAGAGGCACAACACTCTCGAGGCCAAAATGGAAAATTTAAAATCAGGTCGTGTCCACATTTCTCACAGATTATGTAAAGTAGCATCCTAGAAAAGACTTCTTTACACAGTATATCACACATAAACTGTAGCAGACACTCGTTTTCATACAAACAACAATGTGCACTGAGTCTTGCATGTTAGGGGTCGGATTTTTATTAAACTTATGGAGCTTTATTTAAAGATCCTGTTTCCCAGATTACCCTCATACAGCATCCCAAAGTTCTGATGAAGTCTGCAGCAACATGTCTGCAGATCTGCAGACATGAAGCAACATGTCTCATTCCTTCGCCGTACAGTGAAATGTTCTTAAATGTATCCTGTTTGCCCCCGACAGCGAGAAGATCATGGGAAGTCTCTCCCTGCAGCCCGACATGAAGGATGAGTGCACTGATCTGCAGCTGGAGGCCGATTTCCTGAAGCAGCTGAAAGACAAGTACTGCGTCAGAGTGAAGGTGAGGAGCTCACAGTGCCGAAGCTCCCATTGAGAAATCATTGTCTACAATTTGTCTGGGACATTTAGCAACTTTGGACATTTATTATAAAACTTTTTTTAGTTTTTAGATGCAGCAGGATTCACAGTTTATCCTCAAGAGTTAAAGCAAACAGGCCCTTTAGTTCTTCTTGTTGGGAAATAAAACTTTTATTTTATATACAAGATAACAAAAAATACTCTGTTTACAACATTTTCACACGTGTTTATGAAACTTTCTGACTTTATAGAACCATAACTTTGTAGTAATTGTTTTCTACAAGAACAAAAGGAAGATTTAACCAAAGAAGAATTTAAAAACCAAACCTGAAAACAAGTTTATGAACTTTTTGGTAATTTGTCTTCTGTCACATCACATTTCCGAAAAATCAACATCCAGGATTCAATCTTTTTGCAGATTTTTCAGTCACAAAACCAAAACACAACAATCAAATAAAGATAGAAATATAATTATTAGGTTTTTGAGAAGTGAGCTGCCGTCCAGTTTGCACACTTTTATTTTGACCTACAGAATAAAAGCTTTAAAGCCTCTGATTTGGAGACACTAAGCCAACATCTCTGACCTTTAGGCTCCTGCTGTAGCTCATTCAATGGACCTGGCAATAACAATAAAAACTGGATCACTAAACATTTGTATATTATTATTAGCTCTTGTGATTATACCTGAGTGCATTTACAGTCGCTCAGGAAAGAGGAAATAAATTAATGTCTTATCTCTATCTATATCTTACTAACCCTTCAGAGTAAACTTTCACCTCACTTCTCCCTGTGTTTGTGTCTGTAGGAGTTCACGAGAGCTTCACTGGACAATATCATTGAGCTTGAAAATAAGGAGTTTTGGATGCACAGCAAGACTCCTAAGAAGGAGGAAGACTTCCTCGACTCTCAGATTCACATGGACATCTGGACGGTATGAACTGTTTCACTTTTATGTTGTGTGATCACAATGAAAGGGATTTTTCTTAAAATATGTATAATGCGTATTACATTTTATTATGAAAGCATCTTAAGAACCATCAAAGTCTGTGATAAGACAGGTCATAAAAGCACACATAACAGATACTCTCATGTTGAAAGAAATGTACAACTTCATTTTGCTGAAAATTGTACTTTAAAAACCTAAAATATACAACAAAATTTTAAAAACTATAATAATATTATATTATAAATAATAATAATTTAATAAAAAATTATGTTTTGTTTGTTTTGTTTTCTGTGTTTTAAAAAATAATATTATCATTTGTGTTTATTTTTGTGGTTGTTACTGTTTGTTTTTATTTTACCTTTGTCCCTTAAAAAACAAAAATCAATAAAAAAAAAACAATAATCTCCTGCAGTGTGATGCAATTCAGTGCTTTGACCATGTGGAGGCAGCAGAGAGCTTTGTATTCATCTCAAAGTATTCTGTTGTGTTTTCTCTCTGCAGAACGTGAAGGGAAGTATTGTTAACACACAAAGAATTGATGCTCAGCTGGAACAGAAAGTGGTGTCTTCCTGTCTCCAAGAGCTGAAAGAGTTCCCCAAGAGGTTCGTTAACACAGAGACACATATACTGAATATGCACATATACAGTTACTGAGTGCAAATACTGTGTACAATGATATTTAAAAGGCTAAAGTTACCCAAAGCGTTTTAGAGAGGAATACCTTCACTTCATCGTCCCTTCAAGGGAAACTCATAAATTACATAAAAGATACAAAAGTACAAGTGTTTCCCCTTTTTCATTGTTAAGCAGGACATCATTTAAATTTATTCGACTCATTTCCCTCTAAGAAACCTTGAGAGAATCTCTCTAAGCACAGGCCTTAAAGAGAGAGACAAAGATATAAACAGTTGGGTTTTTGTTTTTTTTTACAATGTGCTGCATATTTTTGGCTTTATTTTTAGCAGTTTGTTGTTGTACCAGACTGAAACATCCCAGCAGTTACTGGATGGATAAACATTTACCAGACAGGCATTCATGGTCCTCAAAGGATGATTTAGAATCACTTTGGTAATCCTGTAAGTTTTTATTTAGCGCCACCAACAGGTCAGAATTTCAATTAATTCAGTTATGTCAGTTTATGACCAAATACCTACTAAACTAATCACATTCACACCTGCTGTGTTTTGTGTTTAATCAGGGTGGGAACTACAGGGGAGCCGGGGGGAGATTGGCTCCTATTAATTAGATGTTGTGTGTAAAATATTGAGAATATGCTGTTTTTATCATGTATTTCTATCTTTCTGTAACTTCATAATCATGGGTAATGTGTACAATTAGGCTATTATTGATGTATGATTCACACATGAGGGTGACTCACTAATTCACTAAAGATACCGGCTGCATGCTGTTCTTCACCACTAAGCGTAGCGGCGCTGAATCACAAACTTCCCTCACTTTCACAAAGATAAAAAAAAAAACAGTAGAAGTTGTTGTAGTCAGAATAGTCAATTTTTGTTGTTTTTTGCACAATAAAACAGAATCACAAATAGAAGTGAAGAATGAATTGTGCAGGTCAGATTTAAAGAGGCTTGTGAAAGATAATATCCACCCGTTACAAGCAGATATAAAATACGCAACGTTTTGGTTCAAGCCTATATTTAAAATGTTTAAGTGATGAAGACTGAAGTGCAGTTTGGATATAACTCTTCCTCAGCTGAGCTTCACTAAATTGAATAGAGAATTGACAGAAACCAGTACGGCAGGAGCAGTCATAAGGAAAAATTAGCTCTCCTGAAAGCCATTGTACAGTTTGCATGCTGTGTTTAATACTGATCATCACGTTAGCATGCTAGCCGGCTAAATTAACATGATTATATCAGAGACTGAATAATTAAAAATTGACATATATGTGAAGAGAACGTTGTAAAAGCTCAGTGTGGTCGTAGTAGTTTTTGCTACTTCCTTCGACGGAGGTTGCAGCTTTGATTATAGTTGCTAATAATAATAATTCTACTCTAATAATAATAATTTTATTTCTAAAGCACTTTTCAAGCTTAAGCACAGAGTGCTTTTCCAGGTTAAAGCGTATAAAGAACAAATCAGAACAATCAGAAACCCAAGAATCCATCCCTGTACCGCCCGCAAACATACAAAACTACAAGATAAAAGCGCTTAAATATTAATATAAAAGAAACTAATGATACTAAAACAGGCACAAATGTTAGCGTCGTCATTGTGGGCATGTTAGCATGCTGATGTTAGCATTTAGCTCAGAGCATTGCTTTGCCTAAGTATAGTCTCACAGAGCTGAATCAGATGATTACATGTAGTGACACAATGATGAATGTGGTGCTTTTTAGCCTCTTTTAGCTCATTGTTTTGTCTCAGTCATCAGTCTTAACCAAAACATAGACAGTGAATGAAACACCCGATGAAAGTTTACCTTCAATCTCACATCCCAACTCTTTAGAGGCTTATTGCCTCATTTGTTATAGATTCTTTTAGCATAAGAGAAGTACTTGAAAATGTGAACATTATTATTAGTGAGGAGGTCAAATGGCAGCACCAGGCCAGAAGAATAAAGCATTCTGTAAAATCACACCCTTCAGGGAAAAGGTGCCACTTGGTTTGTTTTATCAATATAGAATTAAAAGAGGAAGGTAGAAGTGTGATGGGGAAACCGGCACACAGAAAAACAAAGGAAAGAAAAACGGGATCCTGCCCTCTGTGCAATAACCACACTGCTGTTATTTTCCTGTTAAGAAATGTTAGAATATTTCCTTTGTCTGATTAATGACTAATACTGTTTTTAACTGAACCACGCAACCCCACTGTGGAAACACTTTCACATTCATTTTTCTTCAAAATAAGATAAGATTCATTCTAATTGTTTCTTCTGGAAATGTTTTGTCTCTGCAGCAGCAAATGTAGCAGAAAAACAGAAGCAGAACAATAAGAAATTTCAATAAAACAGAAACGTCATAAAACAGTAAAAAGGATAACACAAGAAGAGCAGTTGAATAATAAATAAAGAGGGAAATATGAAGAAAATAACTGATGGTCGACACTTCTGTATTTATCTACTGTTACAGATTGACTGCTCACCTCAATGCAATTAGCATAACATGGCATGGGATATTTGTTTATATATACTATAAGGCCAAAGGTTTGTGGACACTGTTAACATTACACCAATATATGATTAAAGCTCCTGTAACTGCTCCGATTCCACTGATGTTGGGTGATCAGGTCACAGTCAGCTGGTGTTGGGTGGGGTTGAGGTTAAGTTCTTCCTCATCAAACTGGGAGTATCATTTCTTTATGGAGCTGGGTTTGTGCACGAGACGCAAACAGAAAAAGGTATTTCTCAAAGTGAAGACCACAGTCGTCTCCAATATCAGTAAGATTTGTCTTAATGGCCCAAACGGTGAAAAACAGTGCATGTCCACATACTTTTGGCCATATAATATGATCTGAAGGCTATAATATGGAGCTTTTCTCCTACAAGCAAAACTTGTGAGGTGTGTAAGGTTTCCCTCATTTCCTCAGGTAGTCCCCCCTGTGCTACCCTTGTCACGCAGGTATCAGTGAATAAAGTTGGAAGCGAACTGTTGCCCAAAATATGTTTGTATGCATTACATTTTTCATAGGTACACTAAAGTATGCAGACACATGTCCGCATACTTTTGGCCATGTAGTGTATGTGTGAAAACCATTCAGTAACTGATAAACATTTGATCTGAGGACATGAAACAATGCATTTTTATATTTCTTATACCATATACACATGTATATAACATACATATATATAGAATCACTGTTGTTCTTAATACTCATCTATGTATTTCCACTGAAGCACCTATCCAATATAAGACAATATACAGTATCAGTACTAGACCTGCACTAACCATGTACAGCATATTAGCAGGAACTATAATTTTATATATTTAGGGTTAGTTTTGGTTCTGTTAAAAGATGTTATCTTCCTCTTTAAATGTGTTTTATGTTGTTTTCTATTTCTGTATTTTTATTTGGCTTTTGTCTCTGTACGTTTGAAGTGCTTTATAGATAAAATTGATTTCATTACAAGTTTATGGACTTAAAGGGTAAATGTCATTTAAACAGGAAGTCCATTAAAAGTAGGAATTTGACTCCCTTTCAGTCGTCTGTCAGGCTCAATCCGTCTTTCTCCTCCTCTTTCTTCTGCAGGTTTGAGACAGAGTACAAACGCCACTGCAGGGCGCAACAGCTCAGGCAGCCTCTTTGGACGGAGTATCAGATAACATACATCAACAGCTTCACTGCTTTACAGTAAGTCACGTGACTTCCTGAAATTACCCACAACGCACCGCGATAAACTAACTTACCCTGCCAAAACCCAAATGGGTCAACCTTGCTGCCTGCTGCTTGCCTCCAGAAGAAAATCTGTCAACACGTTCACACAGCGAGGATCAGTTGTTGTTTTAACCTTTTAAAAGTTTGTGTAAAGCACCTTGTGCGTGCTAAGCTAACCAGTCTAAAAGGAAACTATGGTAACCGTACATTACATATTGAAAAATACAATATTTTAAAACAAAGCATAACACTTTGAATACTGTAGAGCAAGATGCATGGCTCACAAATGACATCAAATAATATAAAAGTGTTATAGTATAAATGATAATATAACATATGTATTATTATTATTATAACATAAAAACATCAACACAAAATATATATTAAATATATCACCTGGCTTTTTCCTGAAGTTTAAACTGCATCTCACTTGTCTTGTATCGATGCCATGCATGATGTGGTTGAAAGCTCAGGAAAAAGATAATAACCACTTACTACCTTGATTTTTGGGGTAATTTCTTTTAACCAGAAATTGTATTCTTGCTTTTGTATCCTGATCAGTGAGAGTTCAGTGAGAGTTAGAAAGCAATGCAGAGCTTTTGTTTGGTGATTCATCTCCGAGCTATTTTAGACTTCACTGGGAGAGTCCCAGCACATGTGCTCACATAGTTCATTCATCTCAGATTCAACTTGTAGCTTTGAGTCTTTCAGAAGATTGTTTGTCTTTAACATGCACAGCGGAAGCTCTTTTCATACCCAGTTAAAATGAGATCACTGAGCTGTGAGGGTTAACAACCACTTTGCCAGCCTTGGAGAGAGCTCCGTCCCATGTGACTTCAGGGAATCGGGGCTGTGAGTGAGAAACGCTGCTGTGTAGGTCTGGGGGGAAAGAGAAACTACAGAGATTGCCAGCTGCCTAAACCCCAACTGCTTGTGTCTGTGACAAAAAAAGCAGATGTGGGTTGCGGCGGGGCGTTCAGGGACGTCATATGTGACGTGAATGCTGTGTGTTTATGGCTGCAGATTTGATGTCTGCTTGCTGCTGTGAGGTTTTCAAAAGAAAACATAGGTGAGTCTGTGGTTGAGTTAACTTACAAACGCCAGCTACCATCACCTTATGACCTTTGACATTACTCCATCTCCATCCTCTGGGTCTCTCTCCTTTAGTAAAGGCCATTTCCAAAAAACTAAATGGAATTATGTGCAAGACTGAAATGTTGCATTTGCTGTAATGTTTATATATCAAATTTAATTATATTTAATCATAGGTAGTAGGTGGTGCTGTGGTGCTGCAGCACCACCTAAAATCTGGCATAATGAAACTGGGGTTTAAACACTGTTTATGTACTATTTATGGCATGATATGAGTTTTATCCACTAAAAAGTTATACTATTGGTGTAAACTGCTGCTATCAACTGTTCAATAAGCTATAAATCATCATCGCCATTTAAATTAATGCAAAAACCATCAACTTCATACATTTATTACGATGTCATTTTCTTTCAGCACCCCCAACTCCCTGCATTCAACTATAGTTAAATTATATTTAATTTGTCTCATGGCTTAGGGTTTAAGATGCCGACCAGGAACCGCAATGTCCCCGGTTCAAATCTGACCTTGTTTCTTGTCATCTCTCTACACTATTGCTATCAAATAAAGATCTAGAAAGAGCTTAATTTATCCCGAAGAGAGCTGTTGTGCAGCAGTACAAAGTAGGAAAGGGGTGTGTGAGAACAGTCTGCGGCTATGTGCTCATGAAGCACTTCTGTGGTTTATCAGTGGAGTGTGTAGATTTTTTCCGACTGCAATCTTTCTGGCACCTAGGGGACGAAGCATTTGCAGGATGTTGAAGGCATACGTCGCTAGCTGGCAAAGGCTGTGGCAAGAAACGGAAATGACTCTTGTAAACCTTGTAATAACTCGTGAATTCAGGAGAAACGCAGATGCTAAAGTGCTGTACGTTTATATACCATAACAGGGTTAGGGGAAGGGTTATACTAAGTATGGCTCCACTGAGAGAAATCTCTCTGAATTTCCTTTAGACAGACTAGAGACACGTCTGTATCCTCACTACAATGCATCACTGTAACTATAATGAATTGATGTGGGTCACATTTCTCATCAGGCACACGCCCAACTGTAACTTCCAGCGTCTTCCAGCCTCAGGGGGCTCTGAGAGTCGGTCCTGGGGATGGAGACAGTGGACATTAATAATGAATGAATTAATAATTTCTGTAAATGTGCCAGCGTTAGCCAAGAGACTATTTTTCATCTTTAGTCCCTGGACAGTCACCCTAAAAATGGACTGTAAGATTAAAATTCCGAAATCCTTCAAAGTCAAATCATTTTTAAGCGTGCAACAATATAAAATAATAATATATTAATGGAAACACAAGCATCATTCATACAACTTCAATAAACCAAATACTGAATGCCACAAATGTAAACAGTGTCATTGTATGGACCATAAGTCCAGCTGCTTCTTGGTGAGTTGCACATACATGTACGATATGTATGTGCATGGTATTGCACATATTGTCCCGTTGTTGCACATTACATCCACGAGTCAGAAAGTAATGATTGTAATTCAGAGAGAAAGAGAGTAAACAAACAGTGCTGTAAAGGAGGATGGAGTCACCCCAAAAAAAGGGCATTAAAAACATAAGTAAAAATTTGAGGGGAAAACATTCAGAATATCGAAGGTTAAGAGTTCAAAGCAAAGTCGAAACATAATTAATTGTATTTAAAAGAAACTGGACAAATGAGACTCACAGTGTTTATTATTATCTGGTTTTAATT